AGGAGTTGTGTAATACAGGTTTATTAGACTGTGCAGTGATCAGCGCAGAGCTTGTTTCTCTCCTTGAGGACATGTTCCAGGTGTGGCTCACATTTCAGTGACAGAGAAAGAAGATGAGGGGAGATTGCACTCCAGCATGTAGAGGTGCTGTCTGTGTCACAGTAGGACTTTAGAGTAGAAGGAGTCGCTACCTACTCGTAAAGAATACATTTGAATTTGCTCCACAGCTCTTTTATTCCTTTCCTTCCTGCGTCACTACCTATGATCACCGTGAGGTTACAGGAATAGTTCTTCCATGAGGTTTCTGGCTTTGACACGTAGCTGGGCTTCTGGTTGTATATGTACTACAGTATGCTGATTGGTTATACTTTCTATTCAGCTGTACTCATTTCTCACAAATTTAGATTAATCATCAACTAAATACCAAAAACTTAAATGTGGCCTTGAGAGAAGAAAATTGTAAATTTAGTTGTAATTAAAAATAAAAATAAAAATGTCTTCATCAGGGTAATGAGAACATCAAAATATTTTGCTTTTAATTAAGATGTGTTAAATTTTGCATTGACATTAGGAAAGTGCTGCAACTCCCTCTCCTTTATATGAATCTATAATTTATCAATACGCTACTTGCAGGCTCTGGTGTCATAGATGTAGAAAAGAGGCCAGATTGTATTTGACTTAAGTGGTGTCTGCACACAGCTTTGCTTTAGTTTATTTAAGTTCGGCCTTTGCTATTTATTTTTGTATATAGTATTAATATTCCTTCTATGATAAAACTCTAAAACCCCAAGAGACAAAAAAATGACATTGCGAGGTTCAAATTAGAAAAAATTCTCAAGTGTTTCACAAAAACATCTCACATCAAAACTAACCAAAAAAAATATCCACAAAAACAACCAACCAGGAAGCCAGATAATGAGCGATGTGTATGTTCACGCAAGACATGTGTTGAGGTGCAGACATTGCTGTATGTGTGTGTATTGTCAAGGTGAGGTGCGTGTGTGTATCTGAGGCTTTCAGTCATGCTTCTTAGCACTCAGTAATTATCGGTCTACCTCTAACAAGGTGTGTTATTAAAAGGGTTGGAAATAACAAAGACCTCTCCGTTTCATTCTTCAGCTATCAAGGCGTTTCACATTGCATTCGTCTCAGCATACGCTAATGTGTTTGCAGGCTAATTCTTCTCTTACTTTACTTGGTTTCTCTGTTCTTCAGTCATTCCTTTTGTTCCTCTTCTTCCTCTTTCCCGTCTCTCAAACATGGCTGACTTCTCTGCTGTTTCCCCCTCCTCCTTCTACCTCGCTTCCTGTCTCTCCTGCCATATCATCTTCTCTGTTAAGCACTTGCCCCCTGTGGGAAGAATGTGATGACGTTGCGGAGACTGATAGGGATATGCATGCACACACCTGTGTTGACACACACACACACACACACACACACATACACGCGTGCCAGCATATTTCAGGGAAATGCTGACAGCAGTTTATCAGAGCATCTGCCTGTAAGCAGAAAATACTACAAACACATCTTATAGGATGCCTCCAACAGATTTAACATTTTTGTGTATAGTCTTTACCCACGTTTTATTATTACTTAATTCCCTACAGTCAGTTAAAAAAAATGAGACACTTCATCAGTTAGTCACTCAATCACTCACACAGTAAATTCTCTGGCAGTCAGTCGGTAAATAAGCCAGTCACTCACTCGGAAATTAGTCCGATCATTAAATCAAGAAAGAAAGTAAATGAATCAGTCAGTCATCAGCAGTGAATCAGTCAGGAAAATAGTCAGTCAAATAATGAGTCTCCCTCTTAGGATGCAGCTTCATTTTGTCCTCACAGCCAAAAAACAATGACCGCTTAACCTCTGTTCAGCCTGCCAGCCTGAGATAACACTTGGCCAATTAACTACCAACTCTATCCTTATGGAAAGAGTTAGCATCGGTGTGTGTGTGTGTGTGTGTGTGTGTGTGTGTGTGTGTGTGTGTGTGTGCTTGCAGACCGATGCAGGAGTGGGTTGTTGAATCTGACTGTGTATACAGTGTACAGTATATGTTGTACGTGTGTGTGTGTGTGTGTGTGTGTGGGGGGGGGGGGGTCTTTTTGTGTGTGTGATTCCATAACCATATGAGCTGACAGCTAGTGTCTCTCATGGCTGTTGTTCAAAGTGATCTTTTGAACAACATCTGTCACTTTCATGTTCACATGTTGTTGCTTTAGAATCATTCTAACAAGGTTTTCGGGGCTGAAATGGAAGTTACTTCTGCAGAAAACAAAGCTCCTGTTTTCTTTTTTATTTGGTCTCAAAGTGATGATGATTTGTATCATTCTAGAAATTCAGAAACATACTATAAGTAATTTAACCTCCATTCAAGACTTTAGGAAATATTACTTATCCTGCTCATTTATATAAATATAGTAAATACCAGCCGTCAATTGATGTCTCGTCTGCTCTCGACGACCAAACGGCCAAATAGCACAGAAGTAGTCGACCTTTTAAAAGACATCCAATAGTGTCAATGTGATGATTGTAGAGCTGTTAGTGAGGCTGTTATTAAAACTGATACCATTACCAGTGAACACCATAGACGCCATCTTTTGTATGTTGCAGTTGGAAAATCCACCGATTGCGACAGCGAAATGTATATGTATGATTTCAAGTTGTTTTTAAAGTCTTAAGTAATTTCCAAACAGCTGATCTCTTTAGTTTTCATCAACAAACACAGGAGGAAATAGAGCATTTGTTGGGAACTATTTTCAGCAGTGGATGAATCCACACTTGGTGCTCTTGAGTCTAGTTAGGGTTTGTATGAGGGATTGGATCCAAATAAACTACAGCATGATGATGATGATGATGATGATGAAGGAACAACAGTGAGGCTCACTGATGTGTTTTAATGGAGCTCTGTGGCTCATAATTAAACAAGTACTAATTAATGCCTCCTACAGGTATTTAACCCTTGTGCCTCACTAGGGGCTTTTGGGGATTTTTCATTTAATGATAATTTTGTTTCTGTTAATGCATATGTCAAAAATGTAGTAAGGTTGTGAGTTTTTTTTTCCCAAATTTTGGGATTCAATAATAAGTCTGTAATAAATTGTGTAGCCAAAATACACACAAAATGTCCCCATTGGGACCCATTAAAACCAGCATGTTTGATCCCACGGCCATCACAGTATACAATCATACATTCTTTTATCTCAGAGCAAAATTGTAGTTTTTACTATTTTCCACCATATTGAGCTATTTTCTCATGTTTGCCTTTTGAGAAAAAGCGTGAATGCTCAGATTCCGTCCTTTGTGTTCATTGCAAAGAGTAATAAATGTAATGGTCCACTTTAAGGTGATACGACAATGGATTCAACGCTCAGTGAAGCACTTCCAGTTTGTATCTACTTTATCCGAACCAGCACTTCTGTGTAGGACTTTTGAAAACATTTGTAAAATTCAAAAGGAGATGGTGACTCACAGTGGACAGATCTTAAGTGTTTTGTGTGGACAATCTGGCATGCACTCACACCGTTTTAAATGGCATGCTTCAACATGCCTCATAGATGGCCGACTGATTCATTTGTGTGGAGATGCTCTGTTGATATAAGTGCACCTTCTTGATGTGCATCAGGGTAAGAGGGCTCGTCCTAGCCGTACTATTGAGTGGGTTTTGTTGGCTCATTATTCAACAATCACCTCTGCATCCAAATTGATGGTTCTTCACCTCGAACATGACCTGTGGGTTTTGTCCCAGGGGGGTTCAAGATGATTCAAGTGTAATTGACAGGATTTATGACGGTCAAGGCATTTCTTACCCCTCGTGCCGCTCCTGTTTGATGAATCTCCACACACCACCTCAGTCAGCACAATCTCCTCTTTCCTCTCATCTCTTCAATTCCTCTCCTGTCTTCCATTCTTCCACTCATCACCTATTTGCCCTGATCTCTCCTTTATTGATCATTTTCATGATCTCACTCTCACGGGAAACTCTCTCTTGTGGGAGTGTCGGAGTAGTCGAGTCAGAAACACTGCGGGAAATAACACTCAATTGAACCTGATTATTATTTGACTAGTCAAAGTGTAATATATATATATGTGGGAAAATGATTTGTCTTAACATACAAATATGTCAATCTAAATATATGCCAACAAACTTCATCTTCACCAAAACAATCTATATTTTTGAGATGATATTTATTCATGTCTCGTCTAGACTACCTTACTGTCTGGGTGAGTTCAGGTTACATGTAGATGGTTTTGTCCTCAACTTCCGTCATCTCCTCTTTGAGATCCATACTCACACCACTTTGTCTTAAAGTCCCCTTCAATCCAAATGTTATTGCTTCTCTGCTCCGCCCAGCTTCCTATCTGCCAGCATCTCCTGCACTTCTTAATTACTCCCACTCTCTTGCTGCTTCGATCTGAACAAGAACCATTCTTTGAATGTCAATTTCTTTTTTTTCATTCTCTTCATATGCCAGCCTTTTAGAAAAAGACCACGAGTCGCTCCCTTTTATTGGATTCTCAGCATGTCTGCATTAGTGTGTGTGTGTGTGTGTCAGTGGATTTCAATGTGCCCCCTCAAACTAAAGGTTTGTGGAGATATCCAAACTCACTTTGATTTGATTTAAAAAATAGTAAAAGGACAATTTTACTTTACATGTCATCGAGGTTTTGAAGTATCCGTCAAGTATGTTGTTGAGGTAGTTGTAAGAATTTGTCTACTTTAAATTCCTCATCCATAACCACACTCAACCTAAATACTTGTCAAAAACAATCCCTTTGCATTGATACATGAAATATCATTGGAAATATTAACCCTCGCCCTACGCATGGTTTTTCAGAAGGAACTCAGTCCAGTTGCCTCTATATGTGTCTCTTCTACTGTTCACAAAACAAATATCCAAGGGCAATTTTTAGAACAACTTTTCATGATGCTTAAATTGGCTATATACAGTATGGGAGGATGTGCAGAGAATAACATTTGACCGATGTTTTTTTTGTCCCAGGTAAATATGCCATGAGAGATTTGATCCATCGGTTACCAGGCTGCAGCAGCAGCAGCAGCAACAATAACGCCACCAGCAGTGGGACCTCCGGGACCACAGGCCCTCCCAGCAAGGCCATGTCAGACGATACGGTTACTGCCATCTGCTGCGCACTGCACGAAGTCATTACCAAGAACATGGAGAACGCCAAAGCCCTGCGTGATGCTGGTGGCATCGAAAAACTCATCGGCATTGCCCGCAGCAAAGGAGACAAGTGAGTAGGCCAACGTTTTGAGGCCATAACACAAAATTGGGTTATCTTTATTTCAGATGTGTGCGATAGCTTTAATGTTGGAGAAAAACATTTTTCAAGACATTTTTCCCCACTGAAGACAATACAACATGGTTTGCTAGATTACTTTACTCAAAATGCCTTACAGTACAAAGAGTGTCTATATTCTTTACATTGTTTGTCCCAGTGAGAATAGAACCCGCAACACAGTGTTACTGGCATGCCACTGAGCCACAGTAGCAAAACACAGAGTCCATCCCTGCTACTTAACAACCACTTGAAATGCATTTGCAGGAGTCCCAAATTGGGTTCAGCAAAAACCCTCAAAGGATGCTATTAAAATCTGAGGATAATGATGTAACAGTTTACCGAAAAGTATGTCGGATGTATTTATAACCACAGAACAGATACACCTGTGCTGCTGTGACGTGTTTTTAGATCATAATGATTATACGTCCTTACCGGTCTTCCAGATTTCAGCAGGGATCATTTTCTGCACAGGAAAGGTGGAGAACAATCACTGTAACCTTCACAGCAGAAGTAGTGGTGTCTGATGCAGAAGCAAATGCAAAGAGGAAAATGTGAACTTAATGCCACATTGTACTTCCACTTTAGTTTGTAGAATAAGCAAGAGGACAAAATGAGAAAGCTCTCTAATGACTTGCAGTGGCTTTTCCCCCGTGCTCAAGGACAACCAGCCCTAAATAACTAGTAGCTTAAAAAGACGTCTGCAGAACAAGGAACAAGGAAGACGCATCAGGAATATAACTCCGGTCACCATGGGACACCAAGCAGGGTGTTTCGGCTAGCTGCTATGGCAACTACCAGGTCAGGGGTTGCAATGACACCAGAGTTGTTGTCAGACAGAGGTCAACCGCTCATTTATTGTTATGCAGAGACGTCTCAGTCTATTTAGGGAGCGGTGCTCAAGGGCACCATTACAGAGAGAGATGAGGTGCTGGAAGAAACCGTCACAAGTGAAAATTTCACAGTGAGTGTAGTTGGCTGCTAATGGCCCACACATCTTCATTTTCCCAGGGTAGGTAGACTGAGGATAAATACTCCTTATCAGCTGTGCCATGCTACATTCACATAATTACACACTTTGAGATTGGGAAAATGCCCATTATAGCACCACCATATACATCCACTGTTTACCAACTTATTTGAAACAGTAGGAGCTGAATAATACAATGAATTGAAAAATTATAATAATATAGATATTGGCGTATGACCTATGCCTTTGAAACAGTCAGTCCCTAAACGTATCCCCATCATACAAACCGCTACACAACTTGATGATGATGTTTAAGGTAGTGAGGTCACTGTTAAGATCTGTTTGCACTGCAAAATCATTGACTTGTGTTAGTGTTTGAATATTTTTTTTTCATGCAACAGTGGAGATTAGCATGTTAAGATACATTCCAGTGCATTGAGTTTCTAGCATGCTAGTAAAATACCGTCCTGTTGATACCATTGCGCCATATTTCAATCTTCAAAAATACTCTCTGTACTTCTTACTGGGGAAAAATGAAACCCGGGGTGAAGCTGTTTTCCTGAGGACTTTTGTTAACTTTGGTGGACAAATGGATAATGAGCATCCCTTCTGCTTCCCTCTTTAGCTGTTAGAAGGACAGGTCTTCTGTACTGACTCCTACTAGAGTCGTTTTTCAGCTAAGTGGGGGACCATTAGCATGGCAGAGAGGGTCATTTTAAACTCATCTGGAAACTCTCCGTTTTTGCGCATAGAAAATCACTCTCTGCTGAAATGAGCAATGGCCCTCTTACTCTTAGAGCCATCACAAGTGCCACTGGCCTGCACACATCTTGTGCAGCTGGTAAAGACAGGGGGGAGCATAACATATAGCAGCCTTATCCAAAGGAATGTGGTCCAGGAGAAATAACTCTCTCTTTTCTCTGACTTTCTCCAGACACTCAGCAAAGGTGGTAAAGGCAGCCTCTCAGGTCCTCAGCAGTATGTGGCAGTACAGAGACCTGCGCTCCCTCTACAAGAAGGTGGGATGTTTTACCAACCATGTACTCAATTCATCTTAAAGTCTTTCTGTCCTGTTTACCTGTTATATTTCCGGTCACTCTCTACTGCGTTATTGCACAATAAATCCTTTTTGCATAGCAGGCACTATTTTAATGGGCTTTTAACCGTGCTACCTATTGTCATACACATACAGTAACGTTATCATTAATCTTCTACTTACCAATATCATGTACGTACCTATGGCTACTAGTTGAAGGATTGAGACCTAAAGTTCGTGAGAGCTAATGTGACGTCCACATAGGCAATGTTATACATCTTTTTTTCATAGTGGATTCATCACAATACAGTGTGTTGTGGATTAACTCATTCTACACCTAAAACATTATTCTGAAGGAGTGAAATTAAATCCATCTTCACAGTATCAGACATCTTGCTAGAAGCATAATGCTGCCATAAAATTGACATCGTCCGTTAATTAATTAGTGCTTTGCAGATGTCCTCTGATAAAGGGCTTTGATATAGAGACATTGATGTGTAATGTGAATCAATTATAAATTAATTTAAAGAATATTATGTGTGGATACACCTTTGTTTTCAAGGAGCAAGAAAGGCAACACGCTTTGGCAAAAAAACAGTGTGATGTTAAATTGGCTGGCAAGCACACTTGCTGTTCATATGAGGTTTTTCACAGAGCATCTTTATAATTCAAACAAGTTATTGCTATATATGGCATATTGGCCTTGAACTATCTGAGGATGAACTATTTAACGATGAGGGCATTTCACTTTCACCGAAGCAGATGTTGAGTGTTTAATGAAGCAAAATGAAGTTATCGTTTATTCACATCTGAATGGTAAGCTGCATTTTGCTGGAGATTTTTGCTCGACCTGTTCTTGGATACCCAACTGAAACCTCATTGGATAAATTGTGTCTTGTTTCTTGGTCAGGACTAGTACTTGTCAGGATTTGCTGTTGTGTCCCAGACTCAGTGTGTAACAATGCTGTCGTAAGGGGCTGCTAAGCTAATTCCATCCTGCAATCGACAACTTAGACATTAGACATTCCTAATGCTTGCCACAAGCTACCACTATCAGTCAGCTGTTTTTCTAGTGTATGGTATTGATTTGATGTTCAGAAAATATACAACTGGGAGACAAATGACAATGAATCATTTGTATTACTGTGAGATGCATTTACACAATTCATACAGAAAGCTGCAAACAGTGCAGTCTGTTTTACGGGGGGAAAAAACACCATGTTGCTAACCTTAACATTAGGCAAGGTTAGCAGCCTGGGCCTGGGGGCCCTCAACTTTAAGGGCCCCAAAACAGCCATTTATTATGATGTTTAGATGTGGAAAATGTGAACTATTATGTTGCTATTTTCACTCATTGTATCTCAAAATTAAGCACTTCAAAAGTATGCAACTCAATTGTATACTGTACGTACAGTGTACTTCTACTTCAAAAGAAAACATTGCAGTGCGACATTACCTGACAGAGAGACTGGTTACATAGAAGAATTAGATTTAACTCACTAGAAATTTAATAATTAAAATATAATGAATCGCTATTCTGTTCGCTAACTAGCATTACAAATTAAAAGCTCCACCTTGAACAGCCTTTAAGTAAATTAACTACACTTAATTTCACTCTTCACTTGAAATAAAACTTTAAAGGCAGGACTTTTACTGTGTGGTATTAATATTTTTTTTACCATTAATAGTTGATAGTTTTCTTGAGAAAAAAAGTTTTGAATGATGTTAATAAAAGCTGTTAATATGTCACTTTTCTAAGTTGTATATGTTTTCATGTAAGACAGCAACCATTTAGATTCCCAACATGTTGTCAGTTTATCCAATTACTGCCGTTTGTAAATTTGCTGCAATTGATGGGTGTGAGAGCCGCTACAGCCCGGCCATAGCTTTGCATACCTCAACCCATGGTGTGAACAGTCTGCTAGTGAAGTCATACTTAATAATTCGAACACAGCCGAGGGACTTGGCCCTGAGGTCAGGCTCAAGAGTTATTTTGCTGGCAGCAATATTATTGGTGTTATATATTAGTACGGCAAAAACTTAGACAAATTGAGTTTCAATGGCTGAGTGGTGGTGTTCCTGTGTAGGCTGGTGCTCGTTGACTCTAGGGAAGAAGAAAAAGTTTGGTTGTAATGTTATCCAGCATCCATGTAACATTAGCACTAGCAGGCTATATCCATTATCCAGCAGCAAAAGTGAACTGCAGTCAATGAGCCTTCCACGGTTTGCTCGCTGCGAACGACATATTGTGAGTGTGCAGAGCCCTGAAGCTGCGCAGAGAGCTGTGTGCTTGTTTGTTCAAAGTGTATTAATATTGAACGTATCACGTGTCCAAATTACACCAAATTAGAAAAAAAGCACTCCATGGGGTCCCCAACAATACACCCACTAAGTGTGAAGTAGATGGGCTGAGCGGTGCTTTATAGTTAGATGATCAAAGTAGATCTCCCTTTAAACAACCTCAGTGTCACATTTGTATGTAGTCTGTGTGGTTTATGCCACTTCATAGGTGTCTTCACAAATGCTTATCGTGCGTATACGCGCTTTGGCCCTGAGGTCTGTCATAACCACTCCCAACTAAACAAATAATTGAGTTCTGCCGGCCACCATCACAACTGAGCAACAGTGTTTACAGAGCCAGGTGGATCAATAACTTTGTGTAGCCTGTTGGGTCATTTTTTTCAACACACAAACACACATACACAAGCTAACATCGAGGCTAATGGTTGTTTAGCCCATCATGAAGACGAAAACAATGTTAATGCTGCTGGCTACCAGGATACTGTAGCTCGAAAATGCAGTAGCAAACTTGGAGCTCACGGAGAATGGCACAAACAAGCAAGAAGTGAGGAAATGATGAGTGGTGTGTGTGTGTGTGTGTGCTGCTCCAACTCTGACACACTCTTTCCATCTTACACAAACACTGTTGAAACCAGATTCCTCCTCCTCTTTTGATTCTTTTCAAATGACAAATACCCGGACACTCCTGCAACTTCATTGAAAGTAATGGCAGATGTTCTGTTCCTTTCACTAGTCAATGATGAGTGTTGTCGAGAGAATATCTGCCACCAAGGTTATCCGCCGTTCAGAGCACTAAAACATAGCGGCGTAATCAATGAGTCTCAATGAGATATGTAGGAGGTGTCCTTGGCTTTGAATGTGTGTTTTTCATCTCTGTGTAGGGAGAAAATAAAAGAACAAAGCTGATTTTTTTGATTTATCTGAGATGCTGAAAAGTGTTGCATTTCATTGTGATATGGTGAAGTATGGTTACGCTATTGTCCCATATTCAGCTTTTAACGTGGAATCTTTGTTGGAGGACATTCAGCAGAACACAGAGATTATTTGAGAACTACAACATGATTCACTTCAAAAAGTCATTTCATCTTGTGTTATCTTCCTCAGATGATATAGTGATGGATTTCCTACATGAATTTCAAGTACCTGCACTTCAGTTTTCAAAGATGTTGTCAAACCTGAAACAACAAGAGTGAGCTGTCGTTCTGACGAAAAAAATAATATAAAGATATTTTTGTTTTTGATGTTTTGATGCATTAGAAATGAGTAAACACTCCCACCTTTTTATCAAGTCAAGCAAACAACATTCTACCCAGATTCTATCCCAGTGACTTTGTTGCATGATCATCCTGTCGTGGGCTCCCTGTCCAAGTCCAAGACTTCTGACTGTTGCAGCAGTCACTTCAGGACAGGCTGCCCCCCGGCATCAGCGTGTCCTCGCCTCATCCTGACGACTGTGTCGCTCTCTTCATTCGTCATCCTCTCCTCCCCAGTATTACACTGAACAGTATCCCCATGTGGCCCCTTGGAGCCTCATCTGCTTCACACTTCTCTAATCATTGCCACTGGATAGCATTACACTCGACTGGATGGCATAACACTCCAGTGATCAGACATGAAGGACATTGGCTTCACACGGCAGCCGGGTCCGACAAAGGTTGCTTCATTTGTTTATCTTTTTACCCCCCCCCCTCTTTGCCTCGAGAGGCCTTTTTTTTAACCAGACTATGTTTTGATAAAGAGAGTTATTAAAGGAAAGAAACAACTTGCTTAAGATTGATGAATGCACAGTTTAGAACAACAAAATGAGTTTTGCATCTGTCGCATTTGATCAGATATGATGTAAACATGAATTCAATGGGGGGTGGGGAGGGGGGGGGAAAGATTATTGAAAGACAAGACTTTTCCACTCCACAACAGCAAAAAAATGTTTTAAATTGAAACAAGATATCATCTGTATTCCTGTTGTAATATCCTCAGTTATACTCTTTGAATGATCAAGATCTTGCTGCAGTTGAAATGTTGTTGTTATCGAGAACAACTTTTATTAAATGCAGCACAGACAATTTTTATTCTCGAACACACTTTTTAAGCAGTTTGGTTAGCAAAACTGCTGCATAATGCTATGTACAGTCACTCTAAAAATGACTTTTAAAGGCTGATACACGCCATACCTGACTATTTACTTCCTAACTTGCGTGAACACAGCCCGCTGAGTGACAATCCAGCCTAATTTTATAACTGTGGAAATTGTTGCATTAGAGGATCCACACTTTGACTTTATCAGCCAAGTCCAGAGTGCGCAGTAAGTGACTTTACTGCTAGTATCCCTGCATGACGTATTAGGTCATGGGTGTTAGGTGCAGCAGAAATCCTGTTAGTCTCCAATCCAAACATGGATTAGCATACAATTTAGACGAGAGTGGAGTTGGATGTCTCTGCAAAATGTTTGTGAGCCAAAGCAAAGGAGGAGAAAGAGAGAGAGAAGTGAGGAAAGAAAGTGAGGTGAATTCTTGAAATTGTTGTAGTTAAAAAATGCTCGAGTCGTATGTGTGTTTGTGTGTGTAGTTTTGGACAGCGGCAGAAAGTGTTGGGTCAATAGTGAGTCCGTTTGAGCTCTGTTGGCAAATAATTGTTTGCTTTGAAGTTTTGAAGTAACGAGAGCATTTTGAAACATACATGCATGTTTGTGTCTGCAAATGTGTGTGTGTGTGTGTGTGTGTGTGTGTGTGTGTGTGTGTATTTCTTTGAAAATGTGTTTTTTGTCTGCAGTAAGAGGAGTTAATCACTTCCTACAGCAGTGCCATGGGAGCAGGCTGAGAGAGAGGGAGAAAGAAAAGAGAATTACGCAGAACGGGGCTGGGCTGCCCAGCAGTTGTTGAACGCACGAAAATGAGAAGTTGAGGGCCCATAAATAAACAGTAACTTGGTATGAAAATAGCATCTGAGTTGACTTGAAAGATCAGTGGTGCAGCAGTCATTAATAAACCAAAGCCAAAATCTGTTTGTAGCAACACTAGCACTGACTTTAGGATAAATCATTTATAATAGTCTCCCGGGTGCAGTAAAACTCTACTTTTACCCAAGTTTATTTGGATTATTTGACAGGAAGCATCCTCATTCAGTGTGTGTGTGTGTGTGTGTGTGTGTGTGTGTGTTAGTAAGTGGTGTGTGTGTGTCTGTCCGTGTAGTGTTTCGTCTACAGTTCCTGGGAGGGAAGCCACAGGTCATCTTTTAGGTAAACGACAAATGTGCATTACTGTTCAACGGGGGATTTCTAGAGAAAACAAGTACTTGAAACATGGTCACTTTGTAAATAAACCTATTCTTAATAGGACCAGGAGGACCAAATTCTCTGTCTCACTTACACAAACATATGCTCTCTCTCTCTCTCTCTCTCTCTCTCTCTCTCTCTCTCTCTCTC